CGTCCATCCGTCTTCTCCTGTGCGCTCACACACTCACTCATATGTTCACGTTGTGTCCTGACCACACAGGTATTCCAGATGAAGCGATTTGGCCCTGGTCCCAGTCCCGCGCATTCCTCCTCCATGCCGTCTTCCTCATCCAACACCGGCGTTACCGAACAGTCAATGGATTCTCCAATGGCAGCCGTGTCACCGTCACTCGCACGTCCACCGCACGCCGACCCGGCCATCATTGGAGAGCTGAAGGGCACAGTTGAACAACTCAAGGTAAACGTGCGAAAAACTGTCCTTCTTGGAGCCCCTACTCTTCCCATTGTTGTGTTGTCTTGCTACTTCTCTCCCCTCGCCTTACGAGCAGGTTGTGTCTTCAGTAAAAACAAAGCACAACAAACAAAAACAACTGTGATTCGTTGTTGCCATCTTCATTCGGTCCGTCACTTCATGGAAGTAACAGGTTCTTCATTTGACCCGACGAGACGATGAGTTCCCGGCATCTTGTGGAACGAAACGACTTGTCAGGAGGAACGCTACTTGCTATCTTGGAGTGTGGCGGGTGAACTGTCCGTGCTGTTGTCTGCAAGCGTTGTGTAGTCTCGTCGGGTCAATTGAAGAACTTATTACTGCAGCTGTGATTGCCTGCTGAGTTTTTTCTGGCTTTGCCCGGCCACAGCTAAGCAGAACCCCCTCATAGAGACTGTCTGAGCAATGGTGCCTGCATGACGAGCACAGCACACAGTGTATAGCGTCAGGAGTGCCGTAGAATCAAGCTACTGCACTAGCAGAAATATTTGCCGGGAATGTAATTTTCGTCCAAAGAAAATTCTCGGGCTAAGTTTAATGCAGCACTACTATAGTAAATGTCGATTTGTCTAGCCTATCATGCAACACAAAGTGGAATGAAACTACACAATACGTGATAAAAGTGCACCATCCTTTGGTCTGGGTACAGGCACACACAGTTAAACAAATGTTGAATCAATCGAGCACATGTGTTCGATAGATATGAGTTATGGTTGGACCGTAAAAAGGTTAACTTCGTCACCTGTGCTGCATGGCGGATATTGAGCTGGGACCGTAAAGGGGTTTAACGTACACCGAACAAAGTACACTTTCATGGTTGCTTCTATTCTGGCATTGCTCTGGTGTAGGACACGGTGGATGCATATCAGCTACAGAACGACTTCCTGAACACGGAGATTGTAGAACTGAATGACTTGCGGCAGGAAGACCTCAAGCTCATTTCCATGCAGTCAAGGTGAGTCTCACTGAGAAGAGGAGTCCATCCTGAAATCAATGAACTTTTGCAGCTTTTCTATGCTGTGAACTTAAAGTTATATGAGAATGCTCGAAATTCTTTGCACGGGTCTGCTGTAAATTGACTTGAATTGACTCATTCTTGCCTCTTGTGTACGGAGTGTGGTGATCAACCCCCTGGAACGAGGTGTTTCATACATGCCGTATGGCTAGTTAAGATGGCCCTGATGGGTCGAGTCCAGCAGTTTCCTTGATCAACGGGTTGCGCTATGTTGTTGCACTTTCCACATGCCATATGCAGTATCTGCACATGCCATATGCAGTATCTGCACATGCCATATGCAGTATCTGCACATGCCATATGCAGTATCTGCACATGCCATATGCAGTATCTGCACATGCCATATGCAGTATCTGCACATGCCATATGCAGTATCTGTGCATGCCATATGCAGTATCTGTGCATCTATGGTCATGCAGCCAATATGTGATTCAGAAAGAGGCAGACAGACAGACAGACATATCGGCAGACAGACAGACGTATCGGCAGACAGACAGGCAGACAGATGGGCAAACAGGCAAGAAGACAGACGGACGGACGGATGTACAGACAGACAGACAGACGGGCAAACAGGCAAGTAGACAGACGGCCAGACAAACAGACAAATTAATAGAGACAGACCGACCCTTGTTTGTAGGACGGTGTACTGTTTGGTGAGTGGAAACGCTGTGGTGTCTTGTCTTGCATTGACCTCTTCTTGTGTTTCAGTAAAATGGTGGAAATGGAGGCTGCGTATCTCAAACTACACAGCAACCATCTCATCATTCTCCAGCAGATGCAGAAACCTCAGATGGGTGAGTGGGCAAACTTTTTTTAAAAGCTGTGTTCACAACTGGCGCGTGGACGCGGTACGCTTGCGGTTCATGCGCCCCCAAACGCGCGCCCAGCCTTTCACAAAAAACAGCAATCCGAGTCGTATTTAGCGCGTGCGACACCTTCGAGTACTAAATTTTTGACCCCGGCAGTCAAAGTGACTGGCATGTACGCTGGTACGCACCTGATACGCGCTGAAAATTCCAACATGTTGGAAGTTCCATTTCGGCGCGTTTCCGTACGCATGGCGCCCCAAAAGCCAGCAAAAATACGCACAAACGCGTGGTTTCACGCGTACACGCGCCAGTTGTGAACACAGCTTAACTGTATGCACGCTAAACTTTATTTTCAATAGATTTTACTTTTTATAGTTCCATTCACAGAAAAGATGGCCTCAGGCGTTTGAACTAGGGAGTCGTATGTTACGACTCCCCGACTTGAACATTTGTTTGGCTCGATTTCGACCTGGCCACTCCAGCACTTCTATTTCCACGGTGCTTGTTATGCGAAGCCTAGCTGAAAGGCTAACTCTCTTGTTGTTGACTCTTGATTGCCAACTTGATCAGGAAGAATCTCACGACCAATTTGAACAGGTTTGGGGAAGTAATTAAAAAAATCATCATAATTATCTTGATTGGCTTCTGCTGCTGGGAAGCAGAACACTCGGCTGGAGTCACGCAAACCATGAATTTAAAAAAAATCTGCTGCTGATGCGGATTAGATTTTCTTGCCGCTGCTGCTGTTGCTGCTGCTGCTGCTGCTGCTGCTGTTTCTGCAACTGTGGTGTTTTCTGTTGCTCGTCCCTACTGGTGTGTAGGCGGTATGCAATATAACGAAGATGCCACAAACACACAAGAGATGGTCACGCGCTTGCTGGAGGATGCCATGGAAACCGATGTCACGACTGGTCTGGACGCGTACGTTGGCTTTTTGTGTCTTTTTTTAATCTCATCACGGACACCCTTCATGTCTCTAACTGTCCACCTCTTTTTCGCTGAGAGTGTGCGACTTTGTCCATGCACACATTTGCTGAGCTGCAAAGTTACGATCTGGCACCGAGCTCTCCTTCTCCTCACTGCTGGCACCATAATCATTCAGTCATATGCACAGCTGCAGTGGCATCTTCAGCTACAGTACATCGTAATGTCCTTTGAGAAAGTCGCTACTGATGTTTGCATTGTGCAAGAAACTCTGAGTTACGACGAACTCTGTAAATCTCCTTTGTGACTTTTGTGTGTAGCCATCTCCTTCTTCATTTACTTTCTCTTCCATGGCATACAGACCGGTCTCGACGAAGATCGTGGACGAAAAGTATGATCGCTACGGTTTTGAACGCTCCGAGAAGCAGTCCGTGTCTGCCAAGGCAACCACGCTACTGCGCCGCGGCAACGAATTGGAGGTGAGGGCAGCATGTTGGGGTGTCAATGGATTTTGGAAATACTCTGAAGTGTCGCTGACGCCAAGACCTCAGGTTGCCGGAGATGCTCCAGTTTCACCGCCACAGTTGCGTCTATCATGCAGTATTCTGTTCTCGAGGTTCGTGGTTTCTCGTAAAAAAAAGAAAGAAAGAAAAAACACACACACACCATGCACTGCACTATGTTTTGTAAGGAGATACGAGTATAGAGAGACAAGGGGTTTAGAACAGGCACAACAAGAACTGAAGAAGAGGAACAACAGCAATCATGCCAAACTCAATGCTATCGGTATGTGTGCGCGCGTCATGTATATTAGGCTGACGTCAGTCATGACCAGAAACTATAAATGTACATGTACAGGTCGTCCCCCGTTAATACGAGTCCGGTTAGTACACAAACCCCGTTAGTACATAAGAAATCTCAAGTCCCGGACGAAACGTGGTCACTTCCATACAAATTTTGTCGGTTAGTACATAATTCGTTAGTACATAAACCCCGTTAGTACATAACATTTCTCCGTACCCGCATGCCACCTACCTCAATAGTACATAATTTGTTGGTCTTTTGGCCTTCCAGTTGAGGCACGTCATGTTCTAGTTTCTACTTGTGGACACAATTAGCTCAGAAATCAGAGCGCACATCACAAACCGACAAAGCTCTGTTTTTTTCGAGTGACTGTACAGGCGCGGCTGGGCATGTAATGTATCATGTAGAATCTTCGCTGACTGTGACCGTTATAACATAATTTTTATGTTATATCGAGGGAATCAAGAATATCTCGCTCCCTAGTCATGGCAGCAGGAAACACTCAGAAAAGTTGAAAAAAGTGAAAAATTCTTGTATACAAGCAAGTTATGTACACTTTCGTTTAGTACATAAACCCCGTTAATACATAACATTTGTCAAGTCCCAGAGATTATGTATTAACGAGGGACGACCTGTACTGTAAAACCGGAAAGTCTAACGAGTCACAAAAGTCTAACGTTCGTTTTAACGGCCAATCTTTTCCGTTATTTGAAGAAACGTCATCGCGAACCCGGTTTGAGATGTCTGTGTAAAGATGCGCATACAGATGGGTGGCCAGGTAGCCATCGTAAAACTTTCTGCACGTTATCATGCCAAAATTACAAAACCTTAAACTTTCCAGTTTTACAGTATTTCATATACAACAGTCTAGCAACGGGGGATCCTTGAATATATGAAATGAAACGAGAGAGCTTTGAAGCTCAGGGCCCTACGCTATGCCTCTTTGCCTTGATGACCCTGACAAAAAAAGCATACGGATGTTATAAATTCATATATATTTTTCCTTTTTTTTTACATAACCTGGCATTCGAACCCCCACTATCGCCCTGCATGCATCCCCCGATACATTTCGCATACATACTCATTCTTCCAAGTTGCTTCACGTTATGATCTTGCATTTGAAAGCCCTATTTGAATATGCATTGTGGCCAGCCGTCTTTGATGGCACGGGACGGTACGGGACAGGTACGGTCGAGGGTAATACGACACCGTCTACCGCCTTGATGACCCAGGCAAAAAAAGCATAGGGATGTTATAAATTTTTCAATCCTCCTATTTTTTTAGGCATAACCTGGGATTCGAACCCGCACTATCGCCCTACATGCATTCCCCCATACACTTCGCATTCATACTCATTCTTCCAAGTTGCTTCATGTTATGATCTTGCGTTTGAAAGCCCTATTTGAATATTTCGGCCAGCTGTATGTGGCCAGCTGTGATTGATGGTACGGTACGGTACGGGACAGATACGGGATAGCGCCGGGCGTGACACAAACACACGAACACACAAACAAACAAACACCAAATTAAAGCTGTGTGGACCCTGGCTAGCGCCAGACGCTACGGGAACAAAACCGTATCTTCTTTGTGTAAATACTCAGATGCTGGAAAGTGGTCATCGTGCACGCTGGGAACTCTACATGAAGAGCAGGACGGCGGGCAGAAGGTTTGAGTTTACCGTGAGTAGATCATAATTATGCACAAAAGTGTGTGTGTGTGTGTGTGTGTGTGTGTGTGTGTGTGTGCGTGTGTGCATGCATGGATGCGTGTGTGTGCATGTGCGTACTTTCATCTGTCTGTGTGTCTTTGTTTGTGTGCATGGTATGGTGCCTCTGTTTGTGTGAGTGCCTTCATGTCCATGTGTTTGTATGTTTGTGCATGTACCGTAAAGTACCGCCAGAGCGCCCCACCATCTCATCCTTTCGTGGTCGTATTGTGGAGGTGGTCTGCTGTCTGTAGGTCATACGACATGAACCTTGTACACATATTGCACGTTTTGCAGTCAATCTGTACCTTCAAGAGGACACAAGCTCCACACAAAAACCTGCCAAGTGTGACCTTCGTTGCACTCTGCCATACGATTTTCCTTTCTCTGGCTGTAAAATCAAGGTGGGGCGCTCTCGCGAGACGGGGCACTCTGGCGGTACTTTACGGTACATGCATTCCCGTGTATGTGCATGTGTGAACATTTCCAAGATCATTGAAGGATCTTCTTGTGTTCTTGCCTTGCTGGGGGAAATGGTGAGATTTGCAATTGGTGATAAAGGCATATGTCACAGTATTGTCTAGTGGGTATGTTTGACTTGGCCTGTGTGGCTGTCCTTGCTTTTGTACAGAGCGATGTGAAGAGTCTAACACGTCAAGGAATCCCAGCCGAGTTCCGCACGGAAGTCTGGAGAGAGTACGTGTGTGTGTGGGGGGGGGGGGGGGCAGTGTGTTCTGTCTGTTTGTGCGCTTCTCAATCATATTGCAGCTGCTGTCACTGACGTAGCTCTTTGTTCTGCCGTTTTTTCGGTTGTGATTTTTTAATCTTGTTCTCGTGTGTGCGCGCGTGTGTGTGTGTGTGTGTGTGTGTGTGTATCCAGTCTGATCTATGCCCGTGTTCAGGGTATGATGCAATCCAAGGGCCAGGGCTACTACCAGTCTCTACATCAAATGTCGGTAAGATCCTACATCTCTACTGTACAGCAGGGGTGTCGGACACGCTACGGTCACTACGGTATTGACCATAGCACCACGTTTTGCCCCAGCTACCCTGTGAATCAATAAAATGCACTGATCTAGGATCTAAATTTCCTAAATGTTTGGCTCAGCCACCATTCCCCCACGAGTAAATTGTACTTCAGCTGGCTGACCGTACCACACTAAAATACCTTCCGACGCCCCTGCTACATGCACACCCGTACCCTGCTCTCACTAGGCTATGCTATTCTTTCAAAATTCAGCCGGACTGTGCCATCTGAATGCACTGGGCATTGTTCGAAATTCAAAGCGGGTTTTTGACAGTTGATTCGGTCAAAATCAGGCTTTCATTTTGCAGCGGGGCTCTATCTGAGTGCAGTGTAGTTACTGTAGGAATCGACACTTGGGCCCTGTCCAGTACATTGTAGATCGCAGCGGCACCAGGTCTGTGCCATTGTTTGCTAGCTCTCGTATTGTAGGACACACCATAATGGCACATATATCCGTACGCATGGCGGTGGAAAGGGCTTGGCAGCACTGCTCATTTGGACTGCTGTATCATGGCTAAGTGTGTGTGTGCGTGTGTGTGTGTGCGTGTGTGTGTGTGTGTGTGTGTGTGTGGGTGTGGGTGTGGGTGTGGGTGTGTGTGTGTGTGTGTGTGCTGCATCTATCCTGTCTTTACCACCCCAGGATGGCAAAGGCTCTCTGGTGTACAAGCAGATTGAGCTGGATCTCCTGCGAACTCTACCTGGGAACAAGTACTACAACAGACCTGATGCAGCGGGGGTAAGTCTATCTCATGGACACTCTATTTTCTGATTCAGCGGGGGTAAGTCTGTCTCATGGACACTCTATTTTCCACAAGTTGCGTACCCGATCTTGGAGACAAAAGTACATGACTTATCGTGAGTGTGTGACTTGATAGTGCAATCATATACAAATGTACATACCATCCGGATTTCGAAAATGTGACTTATCGCGAGTGCGTGATTTAGTCTCATCCCGGTGTTTTCTGTTCATCCCAGTGTTTTCTGTTCATTTCTGTTCGTTTCTGTCTTGGTGTCCGTAGGTGGCTCGTCTTCGACGTCTCCTGCGTGCCTTTGCATGGCACAACCCGATTATTGGGTATTGCCAGGTGAGGAAAGGTGCACACGTGTGTGTGGGTGTGCATGGGTATTTTGGGGGTGGGGGTAAGGATGTACATGTGGGTGTCTGTGTGTGTGTGTGGGGGGGGGGGGGGGGGGGTGAGGGGAGTGGAGGGGGGGGGGGGGGGGGTGTATTATTTGTGTGTGAGTGTCCGTTGCAGTTGCGGTTGTGAAGGTCAGCTGTACTTTCTGCAGCTCTGACAACGGTATTGTTCCCATGTAGCTGCCTTCAGCAGCCATGTACTAGTGTATAGAATACTGCACTAGTAGTGACGTCATCAAACGAGCATATCAGCAGGAAAAGACCCCTTGAAATAACTGTTCAATTCGGTGCTAGCCCTTTCCCAAAGGTGCTTGCCCTTTTTTGGCCTTTTTGGCCCTTTTTGGAAAAGCCCGTTTCTTTCGCCCTTTATTGCGTTTTTTGGTGAATATCGCCCTTTTTGAGCTCTTTTAGCTGAAAATGTGCTCAAATCTGTTTGCTCATGCATGCGATCACAGTTTCCGAGCGCTCGATGGGCCTTGGCACGCCGCTTTTTTTGGGGGCAACAAGTTGGTGAAGCTTGTACCTGTGCTGTAAAAGTGGGTTTTTTGAACTTTACTTCCTGTTTTGCCTTTCGTGGACCCATAAATGGAAGAATTCGTATTCATTTCTCAGCTTGGTTTTATCTGAACATGTACAGGTCCTCCCTCATTATAACGAGTCCGGTTAGTACATAAACCCCGTTAGTAAATAGAAATCTGAAATCCCCTGGCGAAACGTGGTCTATACAACTGTTTACAGGTCCGGTTACAACATAATCCGTTAGTACATAAAATTTGTTATAACGACCCTTTTCCCAGGTCCCTGGAGTGCCAAACCCTCAGTATAAGATAATACTGACCATGCAGGACCAAGGCCAAAACACGTCGGATAAAGCAGAAAGACGAAACGCAATAATCTATGTATTCGTGAATATGGACGATCCTTTGCATCCAAGGAAGAGTTATGTTGGAGATTTTCAATTATCTTATAACGAGTTGAAGCATCGATAATTTATGTTGTATCGAGGGTAGCCCCGGTAAGTACGAAGTAGTGCCTATTTCACCTTTAGCTGCAAGTCCTGCTACAAGATAAGTCTCGTTATAAGATAACTTTTTCGATGGCCCAGAGATTATCTACTAACGAGGGAGGACCTGTATCATGGCTATGCTTCACTGGAAAAAGAGCACTTTTTGCCTGTTTTCACTGAAAAAGAGCACTTTTTCAGCATATTTTGAGGGACGGGAAAAGCACTAAGTGCGAATTAAAAGAGCACCTTTGGGAAAGGGCTATTCGGTGCAGAGGAAGATCTTTTTTTGGATTTGGTCTAGCTCACAGTGATCTCGGCCATCAATGGACCCATTTTGAGGTGTGTAATTGTGATTGTTTGCTATGCAGGGTCTAAACCGACTGGCCGCCATAGCACTGCTGGTGCTGAATGAAGAAGACGCATTCTGGTGAGTTGTGTCCTCTACCTGTGTGTGTCTACGTGCGTGTATCTGTGTGTCTATGTGTGTGTGTGTGTGTGTGTGTGTGTGTGTGTGTGTGTGTGTGTGTGTGTGTGTGTGTGTGTGTGTGTGTGTGTGTGTGTGTGTCTATGTGTGTGTGTCTATGTGTGTGTGTCTATGTGTGTGTGTCTATGTGTGTGTGTGTGTGTGTGTGTGTGTGTGTGTGTGTGTGTGTGTGTGTGTGTGTGTGTGTGTGTGTGTGTGTGTGTGTGTGTGTGTGTGTGTGTGTGTGTGTGTGTGTGTGTGTGTGTGTGTGTGTGTGTGTGTGTGTGTGTGTGTGTGTGTGTGTGTGTGTGTGTGTGTGTGTGTGTGTGTGTGTGTGTGTGTGTGTGTGTGTGTGTGTGTGTGTGTGTGTGTGTGTGTGTGTGTGTGTGTGTGTGTGTGTGTGTGTGTGTGTGTGTGTGTGTGTGTCTTTGTGTGTCTTTGTGTGTCTATGTGTGTCTATGTGTGTCTATGTGTGTCTATGTGTGTCTATGTGTGTCTATGTGTGTCTATGTGTGTCTATGTGTGTCTATGTGTGTCTATGTGTGTCTATGTGTGTCTATGTGTGTCTATGTGTGTCTATGTGTGTCTATGTGTGTCTATGTGTGTCTATGTGTGTCTATGTGTGTCTATGTGTGTCTATGTGTGTCTATGTGTGTCTATGTGTGTCTATGTGTGTCTATGTGTGTCTATGTGTGTCTATGTGTGTCTATGTGTGTCTATGTGTGTCTATGTGTGTCTATGTGTGTCTATGTGTGTCTATGTGTGTCTATGTGTGTCTATGTGTGTCTATGTGTGTCTATGTGTGTCTA